TTGTGTCAGATCACGGTATTAACTGTCCTCTTCAGATCTAATATTCATTCGTTTTGCCAACTACTCAGAGGGAGAGGTGTGGTAATTTCTCCTTCTTTGATTATGGATTCATCTCCTTGTCTTTCAGTTTTCAGTTCTTGCTTACTTTGTTTTGAGGCCATGTTATTGGTTGCATACGGATGGTGTATGCAAAGTATGGCGACACCTTCCTGGTAGTTGGAATCATGGAATGTCCCTCTTTACGTCCGTGCTTCTCACCTTAAAGAATGACTCCCTGATTAATCCACAGATGAATTCTCTTCCTTCTTAGTGCCTTTTGATGAACAGAAATTGTTCATTCTGAAAAATCCTTTACATCAGTCTTTGCTTTTATCATCAGTGCTTTTTGCCTTTTGTCCAAACAAACAAACAAACAAACAAACAAAAAAGACTTAGCATTTTCCAAGTCACAAGATAACACCTGTGTCTTTTCCAGGTGTTTTTTTTGGCTCTGTCTTTGTGGACAGGTCTCTGACTCATACGTACTAGTTTTGTGTATAGGATGACACGTAGGGGTCAGGATTCATTTTCTCCCATATGGATAGTCCGTTGTTTTAGTTCCGTTGATGACCTGAATTGCCTCGATTGGAAATGTGCTGATCATGTGTGCAGGGCCACCTCCTGGCTCCTGTCTGTTTCATCAGTCTGCTTGCATCTGGCTGTGCCAATGCTGCGTTGTCTTGATGGCTGCCACTTTACATAGAGTCTTGAAAGCAGCTGGCCTGTGTCTTCTAACTTTGTTCTATTTTTTTTGCAAAAGATTTAAAACTTGGAAACGATAATTTTCTGTGAAATCCTTCATTGCTGTCATCGTGGCTTTTTACTTCACATTGTCAAGGCCACAATTTCATGACTGGCATAGATTGTTTCCCCCAAAAGAAAGAACTGCTGTCACAAGAGGAACCGCCCTTCTGTATCTGAGCAATAGCATGTTAGAGTGACCAGGAGTGAGCAAAGGGACTGAGATCTGGACTATATTCCTGGAAGGGCTTTAACCCTTCAGGATGTTTGAGGTCAGGAAACTCCTTCCCACTTATCTCCGAAGCAGAAGTCATAGTGACAGAATTATCACAGAGGCAGGATGAAAAGGTGACACAAAGGCACACTTAGAACTCTGATCGACTGTGGCATGTAAGTGGTTTGTTAGTGTCACCCCGCAGGGCTCCTGTGGTGTAAAACAGGTCCTGCGTCCTTGTTGATATAAACTGTTGTGTGTCCCAAACGTAGGATCCAGGCTTTTGGTATTTTGAAGTGTGGCTTCACTGGCAGGGCTGACCATCTCTGAAGTGTCACCCACGGCGGCGGTCAGGTGTGGAGAGCGGGAGGGCCGTGTGAGGCCTGCACTTGACCTCCCCACCCCCCCCCGCCACTTCTTTAAGAATTGTGGCCAAGTTTGTTTCTCTTCCTCCGGTATGCAGCTACCATTACCAGCGGCTCGTGCCAGAATTCACGGACTGTGTGTGTGTGTGTGGGCGCGCGGGCGTGTACAGATGCTGAAGACACGAGCCACTTTGCAGGGGTCAGTCAGAAGACACCAGCCAGTGTTCCCAGAAATGGAGCGGTCGAGTTTCCTTAAAAAATGTGCAGAGATTGTGTTTCCGGAGACAAGGGCTTGAGTTGAAAGCAAACAAAACTACCACAGAACGTATAACAATTTGTTTTTTGAAGGATTTGTGATTCTGGATTTGGACCCAGTTCTCTGGAATGCATATTCAACTTCTCATGGGATGTGGCTCTTTAAAAAGAAATACATCGAGGGGCGCCTGGGTGGCTTAGTCGGTTAAGTGTCCGACTTTCGCTTAGGTCATGATCTCGCGGTTCGTGGGTTCGGGCCCCGCGTCGGGCTCTGTGCTGACTGGCAGCTCAGAGCCTGGAGCCTGTTTCAGTCTGTGCCTCCCTCTCTCTCTGACCCTCCCCTGCTCACGCTGTCTCTCTCTCTCTCCTAAAAATAAATAAAAACACTAAAAAAAAATTTAAAAAAAAAAAAAATAAATAAAAAGAAATACATCGATACAAAAGGCTGGCACGGGCGCAGTGCCACCATGTGGGCCCCCCCCCCCCCGGCCACGGACAGTGCCGCAGCGAAGACAATGGTTGCTTCATGCGTAAAACTTCGCCAGGAGGGAGGTCCCTGCAGGTTGTGTTCTGTCGCGTGCACTGAACCCGCGATGCCACCCCGTGGGGCATCCTCTGTGGACGGCTGTCGTGCCCGCTCCAGCAGAGCGCGGCTGGACTCTCACTGCTTCCCATGGTGGCCTTGTCTCCTGCATGTTGTGGGCCGGGACGCAGGCCCGAGTCTGCGTCGCGCAGCCCTGTGTGGAGGAAGCAGTAGGGTCGGGATTGAGGCCCCCTTTCTGTCTGACGCCAGGCCCGGGAGGTGCCGCCGTCTCGGACTCTCTCCCTGGAGCAAAGACAGTTTGCCTTGTCAGCTAAAGATCTGATGAAGCCGCAGGGGAGGGACGGGGGGACAGACGCCCGGCCCAGGCCAGCGGGAGCAGAGGCAGCACGGACCGAGACCCGGGTGTCCAGAGGGCCGGGGCCACTGCATGTCACTCCGGCCACGCATTCACACCTCAGAATCGACAGAGAAAACACGTGTCAGCAAGTTCTCTGGGCTTTTCTTTCCTTTTCCTTTTTCCTGTTTTAGTCTCAAAGGTGTACCTCGCTTGGTAGTTTTTTCATAACGCGCCTGCCCTGGGCCCTGGCGCTCACCCCTGCACCAGTGCCGGCCGCGGAGCCTGGGCATGCGTGCTGGGCTGGCACTGCCGAGCTCCTACCAGGGTACGTGGACTTTGGCCTCCCGGTTCTGCCCCGAAGGTGCTTGGGTGAAGAACAGAAGACGTTTTGAAGGAGGCGTCGCCTACCTTGTCTCTTACCGGAGGCGCGGTCCGCAGCGCCGGAGCCCCGTCTGAACTGCGCACTGCACATGACCAGCTCAGAACCACGGCCAGGTCACAGCCGGAGCTCAGTGCTCATGCAGGGGATGGCGGGGACCGTGGGGGCGCTGTGAGCACCGGCGGGGCCCAGGATCTCCGCCGCGGGGCCCCACACCTGACCGTCGGGGGCAGGATCTCCGCTGATCCCTCGGCATCACCGTCATGACGGTGCTGGTGACCGGAGCCACCGTGTGCCCGGTGCTGGCCGAGGTGCTCTGCATAGATGGTCTCATCTCCTTTTACTTACAGTCACATGCAGGGCGGGGCAGGGGTCCCGACCCTCCTGCCTTTGCTGCTGAGGAAATGGAGGCTCAGCGCACTTGGCACTTTGAACTAGAGCCAAAGGGGAGACAGGGAGAGGTGCCGCTCAGCGTTTCGCTGAGAAGACAGGAGCACCCTCTGACTCCCGCCACCAGACATGCGGCCTCGCCGTGTCCTCCCGCCTTCTCCAGATCCACCCCCCTGCGGCCTCTTCTGCTCACCTCCCGCCCCGCAGCCCCTCCAGTCACCCCTCTGCCCCCAGCAGAGGGGCTTTCTCCCTCCTCCTCCCGGCTCCTGGGGGCCGCACCCTCTGGCCTTGCCCCTGCTTCCCTGGACATCTCCCCCCTGCTTCTGGGAGCCGCACCCTCCAGCCTCGCCCCCGCTTCCCTGGCCATCTCCCCCCCCCCCGCCCCGCCCCTGCTTCTGGGAGCTGTACCCTCCAGCCTCACCCCCGCTTCCCTGGCCATCCCGCCCTCCCCCGCCCCTGCTTCTGGGAGCTGTACCCTCTAGCCTCACCCCTGCTTCCCTGGCCATCTCGCCCCCCCCCA